CACAAAAATGGTGACATCAAGTCTGTCCGGATGGCAGGACTCTGGTTGAATTTTTCTTACATTTAAGGTAAATTTTCTCTAGTATTGTTATGTCACTTCTATAGTTTAAAATAGATTTCTAATTTTTTTTTACATTTATTTATTCTTCAGAGACCCAGCACAAGTAGGGGAGGGGCAGAAAGAGAAGGAGACACAAAATCCGAAACAGGCTCCAGGCTCTGAGCTGTCACCACAGAGCCTGAAGTGGGACTCGAACCCACAAACTATGAGATCGTGACCTGAGCTGAAGTTGGATGCCTAACCGACTGAGCCATCCAGGCACCCCTAAAATAGATTTTTTAAAAATAAAGTTAGTAACAGAGGACCATGGGGGAGAAGAAGGGGGGAAATAATGGGGGAGAGGGAGAGAGGCAAATCATGAGAGACTCTTGAATGCTGAAAACAAACTGAGGACTGATGGGTGTGGGGGCAGAGGGGGGAGATGATGGACATGGAGGAGGGCACTTGTGGGGATGAGCACTGGGTGTTATATTGAAACCAACTTGACAATAAACTATTTGTATAAAAATAAATAAAGTTAGGTAGGGGAATTTATGTGCTGAAGCAAGTAAAAGCCAAGATAATCACAAAACTTGAGACAAAGAAATGTAAGTCTTGAGAAATTGAAATCAGACCCAATAGAGACATTTTTCTTTTTATTTATTTTTTTAAATTTTTTTAAAAATATTTTTTATTTATTTCTAGGAGAGAGAGAGAGAGACAGCGTGAGCAGGGGAGGGTCAGAGAGAGAGGGAGTCACAGACTCTGAAACAGGCTCCAGGCTCTGAGCTGGCAGTCAGCACAGAGCGAAAGTCGGACGCTCAACCGACTAAGCCACCCAGGCGCCCCGACATTTTTCTTTTTAAAATATCACAAAAATTAGAGGAAGAATGGAGAATGCAGAGCCTAGAGGAATGACTATATACTCAAGAAGAGCAAAATTCTAAAAATTTGTGATGTTGCTGGGTTTTTTATAATATACAACCAGATGATGAAAAAGTTGCAAAATCAGACCAGGGGCGCCAGGCTGGCTCAGTTGGTTAAGTGTTGGGCTCTTGATTTCAGCTCAGGTCATGATCTCGCAGCTCGTGAGTTCAAGCCCTGCATCTGGCTCTGTGCTGACAGCGTGGAACCTGCTTGGGACTCTCTCTCCCTGTTCTCTCTGCCCTTCCCCCACTCGCATACACAGGGACACACTATCTCAAAATAAATAAACTTGGAAAAAAAAAAAAGAAGAAGGAAGCCTGGGTGGCTCAGTTGTTTAAACATCCAACTCCGGCTCAGGTCATGATCTTGCAGTTCAACGAGTTTGAGCCTCACGTCGGGCTCTGTACTGACAGCTGGGAGCCTGGAGCTTGTTTCAGATTCTGTGTCTCCCTCTCTCTCTCTCTGCCCCTCCCCAACTCACACTCTGTCTGTTTGTCTCTCTCAAATAAATATTTAAAAAAAGAAAGAAAAGAAAAAAGGGAAAATCAGACCAAACAAGAACCCATGAGGTATCCTATACCATCACTCAGGCCTCTTGCTGGAAAGGGAGAGGTTCTTGGTGTCCCAGCCTAACCCCCATAATGGTTTCAGAGGCCTGGCTGTGCCAAATGGAGGAAAGAACACAAATTCTTTTGGAAAAAGGAAAACAAGACAAAACAACAAACATGCATTCATAGATACATACATATATGCAAAAACTAATCTAGGCAAGAAAATTCATCTAGTACTTTCTCTTCAAAAGCCATTTTCAGTGGCTAGGCTTTAAGAGATTCAACATATCATGGCCCACTACCACTCTCACCATTACTATTCAACACAGTACTCAAACTCTTAGCCTCAGCAATCAGACAACAGGAAGGAAGGAAGGAAGGAAGGAAGGAAGGAAGGAAGGAAGGAAGGAAGGAAGAGAGAGAGAGAGAGAGAGAGAAAGAAAGAACACCCAAATCAGCAAGGAAGAAGACAAATTTTGGTATTTGTAGACAACATGATAGAAAACCCAAAAGACTCCACCAAAAAAAATTGCTAGAATTAATACATGAAATCATCAAAGTTGCTGGATATAAAATTAAGATACAGAAATCTGTTGCACTTCTATACACCAAAAATGAAGCAGCAGAAAGAGAAATCAAGGAATCAATCTCATTTGCAATTGCCCTAAAAACAGTAAGATACCTAGGAATAAACCTAACCAAAGATCTAAAAGATCTACACTCTGAAAACTATAGAACATTTATGAAAGAAACAGAAGAGGACACAAAGAAATGGAAAAGCATTCCATGCTCATGGATTGGATGAACATTGTTAAAATGTCTATACTACCCAAAACAATCTATACATTTAATGCAGTCCCTATCAAAATGCCACCAGCATCCTAAAAAGAAAAACACAACTGGAGGCATCACGATTCCAGATTTCAAGCTATATTACAAAGCTATAGTCATCAAGACAGTATGAAACTGACACAAAAACTGACAAATAGTTCAATGGAACAGAATAGAAAACCCAGAAATGGATCCTCAACTATATGCTCAACTCCTCTTCAACAAAGCAGAAAAAAACATCCACTGGAAAAAAGACAGTCTTTACAAGAGTGAAAAATGGGAAAACTGGACAGCGACATGCAGAAGAATGAAACTGGACTTTCTTACACCATACACAAAAATAAACTCAAAATGGATCAAAGACCTAAATGTGAGACAGGAAACCATAAAAATCCTAGAGGAGAACAATCTCTTTGACCTTGGCTGGAGCAACTTCTTACTAGTCATGCTGCCAAAGGCAAGGGAAACAAAAGTAAACATGAACTATTGGGACCTCATCAAGATAAAAAGCTTCTGAACAGCAAAAGAAACAATCAACAAAACAAAAAGGCAGCCTACAGACCTGGAGAAGTTATTTGCAAAGGACATATCTGATAAAGGGTCAGTATCTAAAATCTATAAAGAACTTATCAAACTCAACACCCAAAAACAAATAATCCAGTTGCGAAATGGGCAGAAGACATCCAGATAGCTAACAGACACATGAAAAGATGCTCAAAGTCACTCATCATCAGGGAAATACAAATAAAAAGTACCATGAGATACCACCTCACACCTGTCAGGATGGCTAAAACTAACAACACAAGAAACAGGTGTTGGCGATAATGCAGAGAAAGGGGAACTCTTCTGCACTGGTGCATCCACTCTGGAGAACAGTATGGAGGTTCCTCAAGAAACTAAAAACAGAACTACCCTAAGACCCAGCAATTGCACAACAAAGTATTTACTCAAAGGATTAAAAAATACAGATTTGAAGGGGTACATCCACCCAATGTTACAGCAAAATTATCAGCAATAGCCAAACTATGGAGAGAGCCTAAATGTCCATCAACTGAAGAATGGTTAAAGATGTGATATATATGTATATATACATGTATCTATATCTATATAAGTATATATCTGTGTATACATATACACATGCATTCATATATTATATATACATTATAATATAATATGTATATTATATATACATACACATACAATGGAATATTACTCAGCCATCAAAAACAAATGAAATCTTACCATTTAAAATGATGTGGATGGAGTTATAATGTATTATGCTAAGCAAAATAAGTCAATCAGAGAAAGTTAAATACCATATGATTTCATGCATATGTGGAATTTAAGAAACAAAGCAGATGAACATATAGGAGGTGGGGTGGGGAGAAGAGGGAAATAAATCACAAGAGACTCTTAATGATAGAGAAGAAACTATGGGTTGACAGAGGGAGGTGGGTGGGAGATGGGCTAGACAGGAGATGGTACTAAGGAGGGCACTTGTTGGGATGAGCACTGGGTATTGTATGTAAGTGATGAATCACTGAATTCTACTCCTGAAACCAAAATTGCACTAAAATTTAAATTTAAAATAAATTTGTGCTTGCTTCAGCAGCACATATACTAAATTTAAAATATATTTTAAAATTTTAATTGAAATTAACATATTATGGCCCACTCCATTTAAAATTACTTATGACATTTTATATTCCAAAATTTCCCTGGTAAATATGTTAATGAAAAAAGTTTTCGCATTTGCATAACAAATCATGAAAACCTTTTATCTTTTATCTGAAATTCCTGAATAAATTTATTCACCAAGCAATGTAAGTGTTTTATGATACTTAGTATTATCAGTCAATGCTCTCGACAACTAAAATTCTATTATTTGGCATCCACCTATGTCTTATTTACTATTGATATAAAATTCTAGTTAGCTCAGAGACAAATTCCACTTTAATATCTGTACAAGAGGATGACAATAATTACCCAGAGGCAAGAAATAGAGGTTTTTTTTTTTTTTTTTTTTTAACTGTTTTGGCTTTATCACCTCTGTTCAATGCCTGAAATGGTGCCAAATACAATAGCATCAGATTTGTAGAGAATACTTTTTTTCTAGTTCATCCACATTTATTTTTTATTATTTATTTTTTTGTGTACAGAATACTTTTAATGGTTAGAAAAATTCCAGCTTTTGGGGCACCTGGGTGCCTCAGTTGGTTAAGAGTTCAACTTTGGCTCAGATCATGATCTCATGGTTTCTGAGTCGGAGCCCCATGTTGCGCTCTGTGCTGACAGCTCAGAGCCTGGAACCTGCTTTGGACTCTCTGTTTCCCTATCTCTCTGCTCCTTCCCTGCTCACGCTCTGTCTCTCAAAAATGAATAAACATTAAAAAAATTTTTTTTAATTCCAGCGTTCTTATGTAGTCATTCATTCATTCATTTTTATTGTTGTACAGCTGATGCAGCTTTCTTTAGTAATTTCTAAATATGATTCAAACCCAAATGATTAACTCCATAAAAAAGGTACAAACTTCACTTTTCATTAATAATTTTAAAGCTTTTATCCCTCATAAATTTATCTTATAAGATAATCCAGTAATTACAATATTTTGCTTTGATAATATATTCTACAGAACATAAGAATACACTCACTGGAAGGCTTAGGAATTCATTAAAGTAGTCCACAAGGAAATCATCTGTTGCCAAAGAATCTTCCTGCAAAAATATAAAACACAATATTATACTTACACTGAGATGTTTTAAAACATGTCAATATTATTCTCTAAATCTGCTCATCAACAGATTATAATGTAGATCTTCAGATCTTTTTCAGTCTGTCAACAGCAAGTCCTCCACTATAAATAGAACACAGTGCTATAATCTCTGGAAAAAAGAAAGAAGAAAACAGAATAGAGCAAACTCTTAAAAGACTTTGCCAGTATGCCTAGCTGGAAAATAGAACCCGTGAAAAATACAGCACAGCACTTAAATGAAATATAGTTCAAAACTCTACACATGGTACATTTCCTACAGACATAGTTTTATACACATATATGTATATTTACTTATATTATTATGTTAAATATATTTCCTAAAAATAATGGCAGAATCAATAAAGACAGAATCAGTGTTTGGAGTTAAAATGAAATTCAGAATGTAAATTTCTTAAATTGCCTAATGGAAGTGATAAACTAAGTAAAGAAAATATTCTACTGCTTCCTCCTCAGGATGAAACAGCTTTAGTAATCTGAGTCCTGCTTAACATTTGCATGAAGAAATTTTGACAATGCATGTGTTCTAAGCATAAAGATTGTATATATTTTTTCCATAACTATCTCACCCACTAACATAGTCACTTTTGAAACTGGCAAAATTGGAAAGCCACTGCCAAGAATAAATTCTCTCTTCCAAATAAAACACCTTATTTTATTAGCAATTGTTTCCATTGTGTCAAAAGCACATCATGGCATATTCTGCAATACAGTACATGTGTTTATTTTGTTATTCATAATTATATTCCCACTTTGCTAATCTAACCCGAAAGTTGACAATATGACACAATGCTATTATTTCCATATGGCTGATTATTTTCTTCTTATATTGGCCAATTTCTAAAATTTGCTGAAGTGTAGTGTTGCAGTATAAGGAAGATACTCTAGCATATTGACTTGGAAAATAGATCTTGCAGGGTAATTTCTTTAAGTATTTGTAGTACAATTAGAATAGAGTTATAAATAACCACTTACACGATTTAGTAAGGAACTTACTAAAAATCTGAACTTTTAAGACAAACTAAGAATTTAGCTTACCAAAAATATCAACTGATTTAAACAACAACAAAGTAGGATCTCATAAATCTTCTATGTTCATAGCGGTACTTGTACTACATATGTATATATACATATATATTAATAGTATAATATATAATAACATAATAATAATATATTCTCAAAGTTCTGACTGGCAAAGATCTAATAAGGCAGAACAAGGCTGGTGAAGGCTATATACAGCAATAAGCTTTCAAATCTTACCTTTCAAAACTACTTTAATTTTCTGGATTTTATTTAGTGAACTACCTACTTTCTGCTGAGTCTTAGGAGAAATCAACTGAATTTAATAAATATTTTTAGGATCTTCTAGACGGAAGGCGCTGTGCCACAGTAAGGGTGGCCAAACTTTGCACGACCGGGCTCATGATCAAAACTCCTCAGATGGGAAGCGTGAGTACTTTTAATTAATAACAGTAGGGGAGTACTGTCCCTTGTTAATCTTTCTAAAATAGCATCTTATTTTTAAATTTTACCTATCCAACAGAATGTGTATGCCACAGAGTCAGGTGGACCTAAATATTGCTAGAATATGGCCAGCCACATGGCCACAAATTTCTAGATAATCCTCAGATTCACATTTTCATTGCCAGTTGCCTCACCCTTCTCAGAAAACTGTAACTCAATGAGTTCCAAACAATCTATGATGAAGTAACTGTTTTGTGTTTTCCCTAATCCTTAAATTTCAGACAAATAACTTATAAAATACAGTAAGAGTGAATTACAAGAAATAAAAGATACACATAATACAAAAGCCCAATTGTTTATTACTAAATTCAGTAGATACAAACAGACGCTGTCAACATATCATAAAGTTTCTAAATGTTTGCTCTAGATTTCAGAACTCATCTCAACAAGGACTGATAAGTCTCCGGCAGCTCTGGTCCGCAAACACTCATCAAGTAGCACCACACTACCTGGTGAGCAATTTGCTTCCAGCAACCTCAGATCCCCCTGAAACTGAACCACACTGACAGGGAATTTCTCTGGAGTTCAGTCACATCCTCAAGTTTGCATTTCCAACCACAGAAACTCAAAGTACTCAAAAACATCAAAATCTGTATTTCTTTTCTGAAGTTGTATCTTGCTTTCTCCCCATATGAAATTCAGCGCTTCTGTGCTATTAGGGAAGTTCTTTCTGCAAGGGAAATAAGCATGGTCTCCAAGTGTCCTCTCCTCAGTCCTCCTGCTGCACTTCAATGGGAAGGCCTGCACGTCTCTAATTTTTTTTTTAATGTTTTATTTATTTCTAGGAGAGAGAGAGAGACAGCGTGAGCAGGGGAGGGTAAGAGAGAAAGGGAGACACAGACTCCGAAACAGGCTCCAGGCTCTGAGCTGGCAGTCAGCACAGAGCCCAACGTGGGGCTCGAACCCACGAACCGCGAGATCATGACCTAAGCGAAAGTCGGACGCTTAACCGACTAAGCCACCCAGGCGCCCCAAGGCCTGCATGTCTCTAAATAAATGAGCACATCTTCCCACTGACGTGTCTAGTCCAACATGTTCAGGTAGTTTGTCATATCAGTGAGCCAATGAGGACCTTTATTAAACACTTTATGTATTATTTATTTATCCATAGGTATTAAGGATCTTAATAAACACTTTATTCTCAAAACTCTTTATTTAAAAAAAAAATTTTTTTTACAAAGGCCTCGATCTAAAGAAGCAGGTCAGTTACTCTCCGTAAGTTTCCTCAATCTAGTCACATGGTTGTATTAAAATGAACTAAGTCTCCATGTTTGGGATTAATATATTCCAAATAACCAATAAACTGGTGGTGGTTATTAATGGTATAATCAATTCCTCCATTACATCATTCCATGAACCTGACTGCAAACTTTGCACCACAGATTCTCTGCTGAATGATGCAATGGAAGGTAGGAACATTTTTTCAGAATTGAATACACACTTGAAACCTGTTTTTTCATGTATTACAGGTGTGCCATCTGTGAAAGTGAAGTCAGCTTTTCCGTTTTTAGTCCAAACATCTCAAATTTCTTCCTGAAAGAGGGTTAAGCAAAATAGTTTATATGTGCTGGCTAATTATGGTAGACAAAAAATTTTTTGCTTAAGAATTTATTTTGCTGAACCTTCAAATCAGATAAACTACAATTAGTTCACCACTCTAAAACAGGCAAGATATACAAAGAAGACCTTGTAAACAAGGAAGATGAAATAAGATATACACAGACATAAACCACAGTCCACCAAAGAATATGATACATGCCAAAAGAAAATTATGGTATTAAATGTTTCCTCTCAAAGGAGGGAAAGATATTATCTGGTAGGAGGAATTAAAAGAGACTTAAGTCAAGAAAATAGGATTTGAAGTAACTTCAAATTCTATAATTAGAAATACATAAATTAGAAGCAACAATGCAAATCACAGAGAGAAATGCATGAGCAAAGCAAGGTGGGAATCAAAACATAGTAAAGGTGATCACACTTAGCTAATGGCAGAAGCAGAAAAATGATCCAAGTTTCCAACTTCCTTTCAAGCCATTTGCACGTTAAACCAAAGCCATTCATCTAATTTCCAATGCAGAATCCTATACCGACGCACTTTAGCTTAGGAATGCTATCATCAGGCAGTGAACAGGACAGACCATATTTCAAAAATGACACCTATCAGGATGCACCTATTTTTATTGCTTCTTCCTAAATTATACATGGTCTTTCTTTTCTCCTTTCTAAACAAGCCAATCACTAGACCAGAGCTTCCTATGAGGCAAAGACAAAGGAGTTCAATGGGTCAAATGAAAATAGACCTCTTCAGCCTTCAAGGCAACCAGGCACAGCCAGGGATGGTTAGGGCTCCCAGGATGGTGACCCCTGGTTGTGAGCAACCTTGTTTGGTACTCCTCATGCCCATCTTCCTCCCCCTGGAGAAAGTGATTTATGAGTCACATTCCACACCCACTGCTCCTCTGTAAGACACTGAGCATAGCCAACGAGTTGCTCAAGCCCTGGACATAGATTTATTAGCTATCTGCAGAGCATATCACTGTCCCATGGAGCTGCCAGAAGAGTTTGTTTGAGATGTCCAAGAAAACAGTACAAGACAAAGGTGCTGACAGCTTGGAAAAGAGGGGGAAGGGAGATCCTGGAAGGCTGCGGATGACGGCTCCAAATCTTTGCCTTCACATATATCAGATATTTCTGTCCATTGGTAACTGAGGTATGCCTGTAGTAGTATTGAAGCTAGACATAAGGTGATCACTCAAAAAATGTACCCATATACTGCAACACAGACTTTCATCATTACTTTGAAATATTTGATATGAAACATTTTATTGATTTCTAAATCTGTTTATCTTAAGAAATTTTAATTTTGTATTTGTCATGAAAAAAAACTATTAAACTTTAATTTTAACTCTTGCAATTTTGAATGGTTACAAAAAATAGTCTAAAAATTTTTTAACTCTTATTGGGTGATACAGTTTCTTACCAATAGAGACTGTTCAAGAATTACAAGGGATCACCATTAAAAAGTCTCAATTAGCAATTGCATACAGTCATTTCACTATAAAACTTGATATTAAAAAGTTACCTACATCCAAAAAGGAAATTAATAAAATAATTCCACTTAGAAAGAATTTGCTGCAAAGAAGTTAGACAAGACATAAATACATGGAAAGACATACCATGTTCATGAACTGGAAGACAATATTGTTAAAATGACAATCCACCCAAAGCAATCTACAGACTTAATACAATCTTCACCAAAATCCCAGTAAAATGTAAAACAACAAATAGAGATTAAAAAAAGGAAGAAAAACCCATCCTAAAACTCATATGGAATTTCAAGGGACCTCAAATAGCCAAAGCCATCTTGAAAAAGAACAAAGTTGGAGGACTCCTACATCTTGATTTCAAAACTTACTATAA